TCTCCTGATATCTCGACTTGTCCAAACGTCCATTCATTATTGATTGTATTGGGAGACATCCAAAGACAGGTCGTTGCATTGCTTATATTTGTACGACAAACTCTTATTGACGATCTAGCATCGGCCATATACCAAAACTGCATACAATAAGGCTTTGTCTGCGTCCATTGTATAGATAATGTGCTGCTTGTAGATTGTTTGTTTTTTGGACGTGCAATRTAGTAGCTGCCTTTGTAAAAGAAAATCAAAAGAAGACCTCGATTTTTTGTSTTAATTAACGGTGATCATCGGCAAAGTAACGCGATGCATGCTGCAGGAACAAATCATGTATATACATACCTCCTTTAATAAAAGAATGATCAAAGCTTTTGTAKTTTTTGGGTAASTTGTACCTCCATCCATCATTTTCCATTCCGCAAGGTCCAGCATCGAACCCGCAGATACCTTTAGAATAATGTATCTCTTAGTATAAATTTACTTAAAATATTAATTAAATGTGATTACTAGTATTAAATATATTATTAGATATAATTATAAGAAAGCAAGCTATTTGAGTGAAATGAGATACCTTTTGTTGTCTTACAATGCTCATTCTGTTCCCTGCAAATATTTTTGTGGTATTTATTGGAGTTCCCTGCGTAATACATCAACAAACTCATGCATTACTCCCTTGAGTTGAAGTGAAGCAATATTATCTATGACATTCCTATTGGAAATGATCTCATAAAAACAAATAATTTTGATTTTAAATGAATCTCACACTTTACTTCGATATAATGAATTTGAATATTTTTCAAAATCGCTTATATATTTTAGAAAACTTTTAAAAAACCTCCCTCCCTTCTTCCAACCCTCTTTTTAATTCTAAGAAGTTCAAATAACTGCATAACTGCATTTTTGGCTCCCAACAAATTTCAAGACTCACTCTCCCAACGAGGGAACTACTGCACAGTCCCTAGGCAGCTGGAATACTTTTATTAAAAGCTTTGCATTTATTTTTGCCCTGCACATATTTGCTTTTACGTTCTATAATAATAATGTTATACAACCGTAGCCTATATTAAACTTACAGCATTCCGAAATGTTAAACTTCATGTCTGTACATGGTGATAACGGTGATGGACATCTTCCATCGATGCATTGGTACAYAGGGCATTCTAGATGTTGTTGAGAAATAGTGAGAAATATATGTCAATATAACGAATTGACATTTTGAATCTATTAGACTTTGAAATGATTTAATATGTAAGAATCCACGTACTATTAGCCATTTCGAAGTTATGAAATGAATTGTAATTTCTGTYATATTGAGCCAATCGAAAAACTAAACATATATATCACTTATAAACAGACTTTATCGATTTTAGGTTCCAAGTTACAGATCATTTGGACAAATATTCAATTAATGAGAAGCCGTGCAATTTACAGAGAATGTATGGAGATTTTGACCGTGTCCCACAAAACAATACATTCTCTGTTAATTTGATGAAACTAGGAATAAATACTGTTCAGCTAGTTTTTATCCAAACGTTTTGAAACTTGGTATATTTACTAATTTTTGGATGTCCTTTCATGGGGTGGGGTTTGTTTTGTTATTAGATCAATATTTCTTTGATTAGTGCCCAGTTCCCTGCGCAACTCCAAAGTGGCTAATACTATGGACTATCAAATATCCCGCGATTGCCTACTGAAATATATATATGGTCTATTCATGACAGAGACCATGATTGTTTTATCGAATGAAGCGAAAAATATTCAAAACAATATCTCGAGTGTACATTTCTTTACGATCTTTTCGTCAAACTTTCCATAATACTAAAACAATTAGTACGTCCACTCGATCTCGTGAACAACGAGTTGATGCGGCCTCTTGGACTATAAACTCGTAGTCAAATCGATCAGGTGGTCTAATAGTTAGATATAAAGCGAGGTGCGAGVTTTAAAATATCATTCTTACGAAGAGYGAATTACCGTCATCACACCGCATTTCATCTTCACTTTGTTGTTGGCAGTTTAWTTTTGCATTGCAAAGTTTAGAGACGTCCACGCACGATCCATCGGAGCACGTAAATTGATTAGYTAAACAAGGACAGCGATCCTCATCTGAACCATCAATACAATCATCTTTGACCCCGTCACATCTTTTATATTTGTCAA